GTCATAGTCATAGTTGGGATTAATTCATTTTGTTCATTCACTACAGCAGTCATACCTCCCCCCTATAGGGCTTACCCACTTACTATCGGAGATGGGAAATACTATACCTGTGTCGAGCCACTTAATCACTTCTTTTCTTACCACCCCTTTTATGATTGGATTTAGGCGGCGTTGATGTTTCACACTAGGCTTGTGTCCTCCCTCCATGAGTACTTTGTGCATGCAGAATGCAGGGCTAATACCCTTTATGTCAGACATTGTCCAACCAATGGCATGCTTGTGCTCCCTCAGTACCCTTAAGAGCTTTTCTTCTTGCAATTTAGATAAATGAGAAGAAACAATCACATGTAAAGTGTTAGAACTACCCAAATATGCATAATAAAAATGAGATGGTAAGGGTTTAAATTCTAGTTTTGGAGCCTCTGAAGTGAGGGTCTAGGGGGCAGGCCGATTGGCCTATCCAGAGGCTCAAACTGGGATCTTTCTCTTATGTATTTACAAGATGCATCCAAAATTTGCAATATCTCCTCAACCTCTTCTTCCAGTTCCAAGTGATTGAACAACATCAATGCCTTTTATAGTGCATCTTATTTAAATGCACTTGGCTCTATGGTTGGTTCATTTATCTTCACCACAGAAACCATGGCCAGGTCCTCGTAATGACGAAGCAACTGAATAGCTCGATATACATTGAAGACCGCTTCTTCATTGTCCACACTCAGAATCATCTTACCTTCTCGGACTTTGATAATGGCATCTATAGTGGCCAAAAGAGGTTGTCCCAAGATGATATGAACTAACTCATCAGCCTCGTAGTCCAGGATGATGATAAAATCTGCAGGGAAAATAAACTTCCCAATCTGCAGCAAGACGTCCTCAATTACCCCCTCAGGATAAACATAAGATCTATCAGCTAACTGTAGCAGCATCGTGGTGGGTCTCGGAGCTCTTAATCCCAATTGTTTGAACACTGACAACGGCATCAGATTGATACTTGCACCCAAATCACACAAGGCTCTACCCACATCAATTTCACCAATCTTCACAGGGATGGTAAAATTACCCGGATCCTTAATCTTTTGTGGAAGCTTATGTTGAATCCAGGAAGTGCACTCCTCAGTAAGTGCGCTGGTCTCAAATTCAGTTAACCTCCTCTTATTTTCCACTATATCCTTAATATATATTGCATATTTTGGGACCTCACGGAGCATGTCAACTAAAGGGATGTTCAAGTGTATCTGCTTTAGCATATCTAAAAATTTGTGAAACATGTGGTCATCATTCTTCTTTCTCAGTCTTTGAGGAAAA